GTGACGTGTGTGTGACGCGTGAGACGTGTGTGTGACGTGTGTGTGACGTTTGTGTGACGTTTGTGACGTGTGTGTGACGTGTGTGTGACGTTTGTGACGTGTGTGTGACGTGTGTGTGACGCGTGTGTGACGCGTGAGACGTGTGTGTGACGTGTGTGTGACGTTTGTGACGTGTGTGTGACGTGTGTGACGCGTGAGACGTGTGTGTGACGTGTGTGTGACGTTTGTGTGACGTTTGTGACGTGTGTGTGACGTGTGTGTGACGTGTGTGTGACGTTTGTGACGTGTGTGTGACGTGTGTGTGACGCGTGTGTGACGCGTGTGTGACGCGTGTGTGACGCGTGTGTGACGCGTGTGTGACGCGTGTGTGACGCGTGTGTGACGCGTGTGTGACGTGTGTGTGACGTGTGTGTGACGTGTGTGTGACGCGTGAGACGTGTGTGTGACGCGTGTGACGTGTGTGTGACGTTTGTGACGTGTGTGTGACGTTTGTGACGTGTGTGTGACGTGTGTGTGTGACGTGTGTGACGCGTGTGACGTGTGTGTGACGTTTGTGTGACGTTTGTGACGTGTGTGTGACGTGTGTGTGACGTTTGTGACGTGTGTGTGACGTGTGTGTGACGCGTGTGTGACGTGTGTGACGTGTGTGTGACGCGTGTGTGACGCGTGTGTGACGTGTGTGTGACGTGTGTGACGTGTGTGTGACGCGTGTGTGACGCGTGTGACGCGTGTGTGACGCGTGTGTGACGTGTGTGTGACGTGTGTGTGACGCGTGAGACGTGTGTGTGACGCGTGTGACGTGTGTGTGACGTTTGTGACGTGTGTGTGACGTTTGTGACGTGTGTGTGACGTGTGTGTGTGACGTGTGTGTGTGACGTGTGTGAATGACGTGTGTGACGCGTGTGACGTGTGTGACGTGTGTGATGCGTGTGTGAGGGACAGTGACACAGCAGTGTGTGTTTCCTGTTGTGTGTGTTTCCAGTTAGATTGTGTGATGTCACGAGCTACAGAGCAGCGGGACACGTTTATGAAACACTTTCACTGCATCAACACTTCTTTGAGTTTTATTATTTTGATATTTTAAGCGCTCAGAATCTCAGTGTTTGTTTTTGTACTGAGAAATGTTTTAAAACATTTAAATAGTGGAGGAACATATTAGTAGTAGTGCTGTCAAACTATTAACATATTTAATTGTGATTCATTATTTTATCTACAGAACAGACCAAAAGTTTCTCTCCTTCACTGAGTTCTACCAGGCTGTGTCAGGGCTGTTTGACCAATAAGGAGAGTGATGGTGCTGGGCCACATGACCTCCACAGTCACCGGACCTGAACCCAATCCAGATGGTTTTGGACCTGAACCCAGTCCAGATGGTTTTGGACCTGAACCCAGTCCAGATGGTTTTGGACCTGAACCCAGTCCAGATGGTTTTGGACCTGAACCCAGTCCAGATGGTTTTGGACCTGAACCCAGTCCAGATGGTTTTGGGGCTGGACCACAGAGTGATCATGGGAACTCCTTCAAGACTGTTGAAGACCATTTCAGGTCCTGTTGCCAAGAGTGAAGCAGTATCAGAGCAAAAGGTGCTACTTTGAAGAACCAGAATAGAACACATGGTTTCACTTGGTTCATACTTTTTTACTACGTACATAATTCACATGAGTTCATTCATGGGTTTGATGCCTTCAGTGTCAATCTACAGTTTTCATAATCATGAAAATAAAAAACTCTTTGAATGAAAAGGTGTGTCTAAACTTCTGGTCTGTACTGTATGTATTAATTAAGTTCATAGTTAACTCCGTGGTGACACAGTGGCTGAGTGGTTAGCACTCTAGCCGGGTTCGAATCCTGGTCGGAGCAGGACTGAGTGGAGTTTACATGTTCTCCCTGTGTCTGAAAACATGTACAATAGATATGAATGTGAAGTGAATGGATGGTGCTGTTGAGGGCGTTGATGGTCCAGTGTGTTCGCTTTACCGTGTGGAGAGAATGGAACAATATCTGAGGGTGACCTTGGTCTGTGACATGCGCTATATAATTAAAGATTACTACTGCATACTTACTCACGTATTTGACGCTGTTCTAAATGTCCCCTTGGTTTGGTTTGAAAAGGGATTAGATGAAGCATAAAACTCTCCTCCAGACGGACATTTGGCTTGTCTAAAACAGACGACTCACTCTGTATCAGACAACACACAGTATGTTCCTGTTTTCCATTTTAAAGCCAAAACAGAAGAACATTGTTAAAAGAAAAAAAAGCATTCCACAAGTATTCCAACAAAGGATGAATTCATTACTTCATGTCAATGTCATTAGAAGCATTACCCAAACAGGAGCATAATAGCTCTGGGAAAAGCATCCGGAAAGTGCAGACATTCCACCTCCAGACTGTCCAGGTCTGTCAGCTCCATGGGATAATCAGGATGTCATTTTGGAACTACACTCTCTTTGTCCGGCCTTATATCAAGTAAACAAGAGTCAGAGGAGAAAGGTGCAGGTGGGAAAGGTCTGCGGTCAGGTCTCAGCGAGACGCCGGAGTCACAGAGAAAGTATATCAAGAGCACTCAGCTAATGACTGGTCTGAGACGGAGGAGGGGCCTCGCAGGAACACACACATTTATGGATTTTGCTCCATCTGCAGGAGAACCTCAAGAAGACGGTGACGGATCTAAAACACGTGTTAAAGAAAAGGGTCCAGACAAATGAATGTTTTGTAAAATGATGACTGATGATTACTGATACAGGATCTGAAGCCAACAGTTATCTCTTATATATTAGTAGTTTATTGATCATCATCTTCACTGATTAAATCTATCCACTGTTATTACTTCGTTAACTGAATAATTCATATCTATTTAAAGAAATGTTTCATCTTCAAAGCTAAAAGGATAAACTTTAAATTCTATAAAGACGTCTTAAATACCAAATAAGAAACATTTCTGTGTGAAATAAATCGAAATAACGTATGTGTCTTGATGGCAACAGTTCAGATTAGGATTAAGATTAAATAAAGCAGATCCAGGACTCAGACTGTAGAACGAGGACTGAGACTGTAGAACGAGGACTGAGGCTGTAGATCCAGGACTGAGACTGTAGAACGAGGACTGAGACTGTAGATCCAGGACTGAGACTGTAGAACGAGGACTGAGACTGTAGAACGAGGACTGAGACTGTAGAACGAGGACTGAGACTGTAGAACGAGGACTGAGACTGTAGAACAAGGACTGAGACTGTAGAACGAGGACTGAGACTGTAGAACGAGGACTGAGACTGTAGAACGAGGACTGAGACTGTATTTCCAGGACTCAGACTGTAGACTGAACGAGACTGAGACTGTAGAACGAGGACTGACTGTAGAACGAGGACTGAGACTGTAGAACGAGGACTGAGACTGTAGAACGAGGACTGAGACTGTAGAACGAGGACTGAGACTGTAGAAGAGGACTGAGACTGTAGAACGAGGACTGAGACTGTAGAACGAGGACTGAGACTGTAGAACGAGGACTGAGACTGTAGAACGAGGACTGAGACTGTAGAACGAGGACTGAGACTGTAGAACGAGGACTGAGACTGTAGAACGAGGACTGAGACTGTAGAACGAGGACTGAGACTGTAGAACGAGGACTGAGACTGTAGAACGAGGACTGAGACTGTAGAACGAGGACTGAGACTGTAGAACGAGGACTGAGACTGTAGAACGAGGACTGAGACTGTATTTCCAGGACTCAGACTGTAGAACGAGGACTGAGACTGTAGAACGAGGACTGAGACTGTAGAACGAGGACTGAGACTGTAGAACGAGGACTGAGACTGTAGAACGAGGACTGAGACTGTAGAACGAGGACTGAGACTGTAGATCCAGGACTGAGACTGTAGAACGAGGACTGAGACTGTAGAACGAGGACTGAGACTGTAGATCCAGGACCTAAGCTACAGAACGGGGACCAAGGCCACTCAGACACACTGTGGCCTTGGTCCAGAGCAGTGGGTTCTGTGGCCACTCTGAACGTCAACACAAGGAAGCAGCCTCGCCACAGCACGACTACAGTCAAAGCTCTGATTAAGTTTACTAAACATTAAACTCTCTGTAGAGGTGGCAAACACAGAAAACACCAAGGTTAAATTCGGCGAATCAATGTCCAGAAATGCAAAATGTGACTGCTAGGAGTGATGAAAGAATGTAAGTACTGATATTATTAATAGGAAGTAAGTGATCTTTATTTATATACCGCCTTTCACAGACCACAAGGCGGCTTACTATTGTTATTTTTGGGCATTTGTCTCTCACTCCACACAGAGATGGGAGCGGGGCCAGTACAGGAGGCGCATGCCAGAACTATTGTACATATTTTTAGCAGTAGGGGAAACCGGAGTACTCGGAGGAAAATTACACAGAGACGGGGAGAACATGCAAACTCCACTCAGAAAGACCCTGCTCCAACCGGGGTTTGAACCCAGGATCTTTTTGCTGAGAGGCACTCAGCCTTGGTCATAATTTAATTGTGAATTAAATTATGACCAATTGATTTGTTGTATTTTGAATGCTCTGAAACAGTTGTTTTGTGTTTTACAATTGTTTTTATTTTCTGCCTGAGATTTTGCTGCAGTTCAGTGTTGGTCCAGACCAGAGCAGAGAGGATTCATGGTCCAAACCAAGTGGATCAGGTGAAAATCCACTGGAGGAATGCTAACTTTTTGAAAAATGCTAATGAAGAATTTAGCTTTTGACTTTGGACCAGAGCAGATAATGGTCTGAACCAAGCGGCTGCTCCTCTGCTGCTGTGACCTGAAGGGTCTATTTAGCTAGCTACTTTTAGAATGTTCAAGAATCAATAAATTATCCATCCATCTATTACCCCGCACTTTTAATCCTTTTCTGTATGAATCTCAGGTATATATTGATTTGCACTGTTTCTGTATAATGCAATTTTCCACTTTCTTGCTTGAAAACGAAACAATTGAACCAGCCGTGCCCTGATGGTGGAGAAAGGTGATCTTAC